TCTTTGGTCTTATGTCATCAGAATGAGATAAAACTGGCAGATCTCCAACAATCTTTTTTTTTTTTATTAAAGTGCACATTCTAGTGTACTTTTTTAGATTTCCACATAATTGTGAGGTGTGTAAATGATAGGGAAGTTTTTTTTCCTCAAATTAAACCCTATAATCTATACAGTCCATTTACATCGCCAATAAACTGTGATCATATATAACTAAATTGTGATTTGCATCTCTGGAGGAGCTGCAAAATACTCAGGTGAGAAATTCCTGTTTGCTGTTTTCATCCAGCCCTTAAAAGGCACAGCAAAAATGTGAGATGGTTTAATTAAATGACAACACAAGTGAACTTCTTTTAGAAACACAATGTTTACACCACCACATTACACATGGTGCTGGTGGCATCATGATGTGAGGTTACATTTTTCACACTATTTTTACATTTAAATATAACGGGAATGAATAAGGATTTTACTTTTTCATTTATCTGGAGATACATATTCCTTTTTCAACCATCATTTTTGCCAAGCCTCATATAAAATAAATGACTTGGTCAAATCAGAGATTGTGTATAAATGTGATCTGTTCTTTAAAACACGAAGCACAACCTGGAATTTTATTAAGATGAGCAATACGAAAAAAGAAGAGCAACAAAGAAGCAGTTTATGTGGTCCATTCTTGGTTGTTGTCTTTTCAGTAGGTCACTGTCTCTGTCCTCAACTAAGCTAACAGAGACAAGAACAGCACAGTAACATACTGTCTCAAGAAACCGTACTCTATTCTTTTGTCCCTTCGGACCACTTTGCCTACCTGCCTGCCTGAATGCTCTAACGTATCTGATCTGTTTAAACCGCCTGAGTCCAGCCTGGGACATCTTCACAGATAACATTTTATTTTCAAAGACTGGAGAGGATGGGAAGTGTTGCTTGACATCTCTTGAAAAAAATCTTTCACATCCTTTGATCAAAGTCAAAGCATTACTTTTCCCCCCAACCTTAAATTTAAAATGCATTTTCAGAGAGAAAACTCACTGCATTAAACCTGAATGACTTGTCAGATATACAAGATGAAAAATGGTAAACGATGATAGGAGTACAATCTAAACATTCAGACTCACCTTCTTCATTGCAAAGGTAAGAGTAGAAGCCCTCAGACTTCAGCATGATGAGGAGGGAGCCCCATCCCAGCAGCACAGCGGAAAACAGCAGGTTCTCAATGATGGCAGTCACTGCCATCCACCAGCGCCTGGCGAAGGCTGTGGCAAGGGTCGGAGCCATGGCCGAGGGGGAGAGGGAAAGCTTGAGAAAGAGAAAGGACAGAAGAGGAAGAAGGCTGGAAGAGAGCAGAGAGAGCCTCCTCGACTGATGGTCAGAATGAGGAATGACGGATTTCTTATCTGAAAAGAGAAGTAGAGGAGGGAGGGGAAGTTGTAAATTCAGCCTATCGGTGAAGCCAGAGAAACCCTGGAAGGGCTGGATTTTCAAATGAGACAAGGTTGCACATCTAACTTTGCACCATTGGGAGATCATTGATCATGTGAAAGAATTGTAAATGAGCCAGTATTGTAGTGAAAGAGCAATTTTGATGGATTTAATACAAAAGGAAACAAATTATTCTTATGAATTGTGGTGATTTATATACATTCTTGCTTATAGTTGATTAAAAAAAATAAATAAAAGAACAATAAAATGTTAGCATCACAGAGTTTCTGCAGGCGAACAAACTGGTCCAGACTGGACTGAAGACTGGTCAACCGATGACCGTCTTGCATTTCTCCTGCGCAGCCTTCCCCCTCCCCAAATGTCCTCTGATATTCAACCAACCGTCAAAAACGTTTTTCTGCAATTACTTCAGTGCATTCCCAACAAATTAAACAACCTGCTTTGTTTTTTCACTCACACAGAACACACCATCAAATGAGATGCAGAAGCAGCAGATTGAAAAAGTAATGCCCACAGAAGTCACTACTTCTAAGAGTAATGAGTTTGCACAGATTAATTACTTAAATTCCTATTTATGTCAACCTAAACATGTTAATCCTTTCCTTGTTAGATGTCTATAAAAATATAAAACAAATTCTCACCACTCCAGGCTGCAGGTAGTGCTTCAAAGCACCCAGCTCCCTGTATCTGTCTTGGCTCGCTGACCAGGTATCTGTGAAAAACAACATTTATATACTCCAGCGCTCAGCAAAGGGCGCCCCCTATTGAATTTTGACTGCGTACAGTCTGTCCTCTCGTCAACTCCCAATTTCTGAGAAAGACTTGTGTTGAGGGCAATGATGTGAAAACGAGACTATTAATCTATTTAGTAACCAAATCACCTTAGAATGATAATGTCACGCACCCGTAACAGAGGTCATGGGAAGATTGAGAAAAACCCATTTACAGTGGCGTTTAAGTTTGATCTTATCAGTCGTTGAAGAATGGGACGTGTATAAATGGAGGGGATTAATCGCGCAAAACATTGTCTGAGAAGTTAGAAGACAGCATATCTGCAGGTCAACACTTCTGTGGCTCAGTCGTAACTATTGATTGATCAAGAGAGCGGAAAAAAAAAAGCCTTGACGCAGATTCAGTGCTTGTGTGAGCGGTTCTCAGATGTTTACTGTGCTTTGTTTTCGAACTATGGTCAGCAAGCAGTGGTGTTTTTAATAAGGATGTTGGCTTCCTGTCTAAGGCAGCGTGACCAGCGGGTCCAACACGTTTGTATGTCACTTTGGCGAGCGCAAATCTCTGGGAGAAAATATTCCTCGGTTGACCAGGAGGCAGAAGTTGGCATCTGACATACAGCTTCTCACTTGATGGTAACTTAAAGAGCCATTTCATCTTTTTTCAGTTATGTTTTTGTACAATTAAAACCTAACCTTAGAAGACAGTTATCAAAACAAGATATATTTGAAATAATAATAATAAAAAAAAATTAGACAGTTGAAGGATGGGGTGGAGGGTGGGCCACAGGATGATGCCCACGTTTTGAAGATCAAAGACTCAGAAGCTGTTTTATATAGTTTATTTTATTAATTTATGCAATAAACACATTCTTGGATGCTGAACACAAGGCTTACTCATGTTGACCCGTTTTGCGACTAAAAAATATATAAAACAGTCATCAGTAATTCTTCATAAGCATGCATACATTAATATTCATGCATAAAGATATAGAAATTTAAATGAATTGCACAAAAGTTTGAAGGGTTACAAATACATGATGGTTAAAAGTTGTTTTTCAGTTTGGGACATGTTTGTCTTGACTTGCAGTGGACTCTGGATCTGATGTGATCAATATGCAAATCAATCACTGAGTGAGCATCAGCAATCACAGGGACGTAAACACTGATATGCTAATTTCTGCTGGTACACAGGTCAAACTGTTAGATTGAAAGGTAAAGAAACACTCCTCTATCACATCCTGGATTTGTGATTTAGGAAATGATGATGGACCGTCTCCGAGAGCTGTTACTGTGAGAGCCCATGAGAGGCTTAATAATTACTCAGTCTTATCACACACCCCTGCATACACAAATAGACCACAATTAGAATTAACCAACAGTGCATAATTTTTACTTCATAGGGTGTATCCATCTCATGATATATCTGGTTCATTGGGGAAGATACCAGAGGAGGGATGTGGGGATTTCATTTTGTAAAGGTTCTGATTTGTAATAAAAGAAAATTCAGTTTTAAAATTTCAAGGCACTGGTTTTCCCAGCTTTCAGGCTCTGTGGGCTCCATGGAGACATAAAGTTGTTATATGCAGACAGATCTCCAAGTTCAGATCCCCTCAGTCTTTATTTTCTCGAACAAGCTGTGAAATATTGTTAATTTTTCCAGAATCTGTCACATATTTTCAGCCTTATTGTTTTGAACAATAAGATGTCTGGCATCTGGAAATCCATCTGCCACAAATACAAATAACTACAGGCCTGTTTGAAAATGTTATGTGACCAACTAATGGATTTCTTGAGGAAAAATGTATTATTTTTGAGCAACATTAAGACTTAGAAAACACACTATAATCACTTTTGTAAAACTGATGAATTCCATTTTTTGCCAGTAGATTTGTAAATAACTGCTGTGCTGATATTTTCCTTAAGTTGCCAAGACCCTTTGACACAAGTGGGCACAATCTACTGTATTTAAAATTACTGGTCAGCTCAAAATTTGCTGTCATTTTTCTCTTTCCCCTTGCGTTCAAATCATGGGGTGAATTCAGCCATTTGATTCTTGTGTTATAAGATAAACATATTGAAAATAAATTTGGTCCTTTTTTTTAAATTTTAATGTTTTTGTCAAAGAGCAACATGAACGAGAAATAATTTTCTTTCTTCTAATGTTTTCTTTTAAAGTTTAAAGGCAAAAATCAAAAAATCTTTTCAGTTCATATTGATGTAATTGAAGTGAAAATGTTTTTTGTATTTTAAAGTAAGACGTTTATTTTGTGCTGAATTTCGACAGCAAAATGCAGCGGGTCCACCAGACCCACAAACAGTCACTGTGTAACCAAGAATATGAGCACTTTACCAAGGTTAAAATGTAATGTCAGTTAATAACTAAATCAGAAACAAAATCCACCTTATGAAAAACAATAAATGGTTTGAATGAAGTTTGACTTAAACTACACCACTGCTTTCTTGTTCCCCATTTAAACTAAACTTACCATGAAAAACTAAGCTCTTGCTAATGGACTGAATCCATCTGGTGGACTCAACATCATTTCACAAAATCTACAACCTTCACACCATTTTACATCATGCTAGTCTCCATAAAAAAAAAAAATCCATAAATCTTTGAACAGTGACGCAGACTCTGTTGACTGCAAAAAGACTTGACGACCTGCTCTTTGTATAGCTTTCCGTTTGTTTCCAGACTGAATGGATGCATGAATGATCACCACCTTGTGGTAGGTAGTAAGAGATGCTCACATGCAGAAAAGTAAGAAAAGAAAAAAAAAAAACAGTTGTCTTGCTTCTCGTCAAAAACAAATCGAGAGAACACAAAACAGCTCGAAGAAATAGATTTAACCATACATTCAAAACCAACTTAAAATATTTGGTTCAACATCTCTCTCTTTTTTTTTTTTAATAATAGATTGACAGTGCACAATTCAAAAATACCATCAAGTCATTGAAGTAGGCATGACCATCCAGTGGTTGACATAACAAACACAATACAATCTATTGCGTATTATCTTACATAGTTTGGATTACATTAGGTAATCAAAAGAAAGGTGCATCATTGACCGTAATTGTGCTTACACACATACAATCATCTGTCCCTCATCTATACATTCTTCTTGCTAGTAGACTAAATCCAGATGCGAACAGCAGCGTCTTGAAACTGACTTTGTGTTCTGGTGCTGCAGCTGTGAGGAACACAAGAAAGTTAGTTCTCTGACCACACAAGGCACAAGCTTAAAGTAACTCCAGAAATGCTTTTTCTAAATATTCCTTTTTAATATGTTCATGAACATGACTGCACGCGTACTGTCAGCGCCACAGGGTTACCTGACCCAGATGATAAAATGTTGCTTTACTTAACGCTAACCAAACAGAATCAGATTGTGAAAAACATTCCAATTGCTTTGCATAACACTGCAACCTGCACCACTCTCCAACTGGTGCTGGATAGAGTTAAATGAGCGGCGATCTTCTACCAGGCTGACTATAAAATAGTTACAGTAGCTAAAGAATACCTTAGTGTTTAAATATACTAAAGTTTGTTTTATTTCACACTACATTGGACTGTTGTAAATAACTATTAGAAAATAGGGGCATAATCACATAAGTGTGTAAACTTTTCCTATTTCCTTTGGGGCAATCAGAAAAGCAACAGTATTGTTTACAGTATTGTTCTGTCTTTGCTGCAGCCTTGTTCCCTCTTCCCAGACAAATTTCTCCCATCGGAGACAAATAAATAATCCTATCTTATAATTACAACTGTCTACGTTCTAGGCTTCAATTATATTCTCATTTTCTGTTTTCTATTTTTAGCCCCTTGGCGTGGATTACTTAGGGTGTTTTGTGTGGCATAGTTATGAATGCTTTGTTTCAAATAGTTCATATTTCTAAAACAAATGAAGCTATCATTAAGCCTAACATTGCTCTCACCTTTGTTAGATTTAGATTTTAAAAGAAAATGAACATAACTAATAGTTTATGATAGGAAATGGAATAGACAGCACTTAAAACAAAAGGCTGGAAGGCCTTCTTTTGATTACCCTAATCTTTAGCTTCCCTTATAGAAAGAAAATAAGTGTTTTTTTTCATAAACTCCTTCATTCAACACTTATTAGCACTCCCTTTCTGTCTAATTTTTACTTGGTTTTAGGAGAATGCATGCTTAAATGTGTCCAAATTAACGACAACGATCCTGCAGTGGTTGGAACGCTTGGTAGTCTTAAAATTTGTTTCAATGGGATGAAATTTTGTACTGTATATAGAGGCACATTTCTCTTTCACTCACTGCAGTGAAAGGAAAAAAAGGGGACATATGTCATTCAAATGAACCGACTGTGTTTTGAATTTCCCAACTTAGGGGGATGGCCACAAGAAGGTAGCTATTTCCACACAATTTATTCATGTCTGCTTCAATAATACAACTGAAACTTTGGCAAACAAGTCCAGAAGAAGGCCTACGTTTGAACTAATCCAAAAACAAGAATAGGGAAATAGTTCAACAAACATAAAATGAAACTTCCTCTGTCTATCTCAGTTCCTAGACCTAAATCTTATATAAAATTCGCTGTTTGTTCTGAAGAGAAAAGTGTAGAAAAGATTACTTAAACAAATATTCAAAGATCCCTCTCTGAGTATACTCCGCCTATCCAATATTACGGTATGCAATTCAATACTTTCCTATTTACAAGAGAGAATGGCACTGGCACTGTAATCTGACCCACATGACAGTTTAGCCCTCTCAAAAAGTTTTTCCGAAATTTTTTTGTGTTAAATTACAAAGCTGCATATTTTTTCTTTTTTTTTTTTTTTTACCAGAGGTCCCTCATGCCTTAACAAATGTAGAGGGTGCGGCAGCTCATTATTTACTCAAAGCAAACTTTCTAAACTCCTTCTACAAAGCAGGACAGCACTTGCACTGAGATTCATTTTCTACTGAATGTATATATATAAAAAAAAAATCCTTCTATAATTTGCTCACCTGGCAAGTGGCTCTCTGTTGCTGTAAAGACACATAGCAAATGTAGGAGGGACAGTTCAACAGCTTGAATATGTGTATGTTTAATAAGCGGCACAAACAGAATGCCTTAAATACAAACCTCTTATTGTGTAAGTGGTCTCCATGCCTGCATGGATGTGGTCAAAGACGTGACAATGGAGCAGCCATGTCCCTGGGTTTGCCGCCACCATCTCAACAGTCTGGAACGTCCCAGGGAACAGATCGAAAACATCTGCACGATGCACATGGTCCGTCTAACACACACACACACACACACATACACATACACACACACACATCAGTCCATAAGGTACTGCAAAGGGAACAAAGAAGCGGAAATATGCAAAATAACACAAAGGAGGAATTGTGAGTGTCGTGGAACAAACCCTGTAGATGAAGGTTTCGGCATGAAAGTGAACTGTGTGCATGTCTACTTCGTTGCCCATGCCAAGCAGATACCAGTCGACTCTCTCATTCTCCTTCATCACCAGTCCACGGAGGTTACCATACAGTCTACCATTTATTCCTGTAACACACACATTTATGAATCACACAACCAGCCGTGACGGGAAACCATCTGAACATAAAATTAAACCTTTTTACCATAACACTACACTGTTTTGACTATAAATGATGTAAGCTGAAAAAGAGCTGTTTTCTACCTTGTTGCGCCATCTTTTATAGACTTGTTATTGTACTTGTGCAAGATTTTTCTTTTTTTGATCTTAGGATTTTACCAAATTTCTCAAGCTGTTTGTTTCAGGATGTAACATTTACTTTGACTGGATGACCACATTGGACCGCTGGAAATGTAAACGCTTCTGCTGTTGTAATTTGTGCAGAATGTTGTTTTGGCATTGTCTTGACCAAATAGGTCAGTTGCTGCAAAGCGTCTCACAGAAATCTCTGAAACGGTCCGTGCTTGCCAAAAATAGATGGTCATTTTTTTTTAAACGGACGACACTGTGACCATGATGTGCCGACAGAATATGACTCATAAGACCACAGGGAAATGTTTTTAGTCCATGTTGCCATGTTTCTAGTCCATGTTGCCATGTTTCATAAGTAAGTCTAACTGAGACAATGTCCCCAAATGTTATATTCAAGGCACGTCTCATCCACACAGTATTTCCACTTGTTTATTTCCACTCTGTTTTATATGTGACTGAAGTTTGCAAATCATTTAATTAAAAAGTAAAAGTTTCCACACTGCCCTCTTTTGTTCGTACCGTGCATCAAGTTACTCTCCTCAAAGTCTTCGTCTTTTTTAAATGTTCCAGGATCAACGCCAAGGTATGTCTTAATGTTGTCATCCAAGTACCAGGACTGGTTTTCATCATACACCAAAAACAGCAGCGCGAACTCCCTGTCTATGTCCTGCCTTTGTCTGTCGACCAACGCGCCACGGCCCAGAGTCCCAGGCCTGCATATCACCAGGGGCCCAAGAAGACCACTGAAGAGATCCTGAGCATGGACACATGAGTGCTTTAGCTACATGAAAATTAAACTGCAAATTATGTATTTATAAGTTAATGTTTCTGTAAGGAGGGATGTACCTTGATGTAGTCAACAGATGAGAAGTAAGCATAGGTAATGCAGTTAGGATCTGAAATCGATGGACCAGAGCTTACAGGAATATCCCAAGTCAACTCAACAATGTGGCCTGAAGGACAGATAGAATATATGAACTCCATAAAGTCAATCCAGAGAAAGCAGCTTCTGTTATACAGATTTGTTTTCCTTATTCTCACCAGGTTGAACAGCAGTGTGTGAACCGCTGGCCTTGACTCCGTGTGGTGTGATGGAATAAGGCCGACTGGCTTTGTTTTTGAATACAATCAGAATCTGCTCTCCCACCTCTCCGTGGATTATCGGACCTACAAATGGAAGAAAGATATTATTTGCCATTCTCTGTGTTTATTTAGCAATGCTGATGCAAGGAGGTGCTAATCTCACCCAAGATGCTCAAGTGTTCCTCGCGTGCCTTCTGAGTTTTGAAGGTTTCGTCTGTGTATTCACGATACGCTACCTTCTTATAACGGGAGCCAATCCTGTTCTCCCCTTTACCCACAAATATGTTGCCTGGACTGGGAGACATGTACCAATTAGCTTCCATCAACAAACAGTAATAAGTTCCACCACTAATTACAGGCTCCAGGTGCAACACGTCGACACATCATCTGACAGACGTCCTGCCTTACTCACACACCTCTCCTCTGGATTTGTGTTGTGTTTCTCCAGCTCCCAGTCTCTTGTAGGTGAGTAGTCCCATTCAATTTCCTCTGCACTGATATAATACTTCACAATCCTGGTAGGGTCAGAGTGTGGGGCATGTGTTCTTTTGCCCTTGCAAGGTTTGACTTTGTAAAGGTGCCTCATGCCAGCTGAGAAGTGATCTGTTGTTCTGCAGTCCACCTCAAACAGACCTGAGAGGGTCAATGAACACATTATTTCATCAAATTTTACTATCACGATTCAATGACAAAACCTGAAAAACTCCATCCTGCATTTGTTATTATTATGCCTAAGTATAAAAGTCTTAATTAGTTCTTTGCTATTTTTGCCAGCAATATTAACAACTATTGTGGAAGGTCCAAAGAGCCACTGGGTTTTGGTGTCCAAACATTATCCTCCCTTAGATCACATTTTATAATACTTTTGCAGTTGCAGAAAATGAATGCATGACTAACCATGATTATTTGGCTGCATGAAGAGAGCTGCAGTGGTGTGGGGAAACAGGCTGACTGTATCACGTGTAGTGCTTTGTTTCTTGAAGGTGTTTCCCTCAAAATACACTCCATGTATGTCTGCCTCTGTGCCGAGCCCAAAGGTGTACCACATGACATTGTCCCCGGCACACATTTCCAGCCCTAGAAGGTTCCCATACATGAGTCCATTTATAGCTGAAAGAGAAAGGGACAAAATAATTAGCGGGAGAACAACCTGGATCTCGAAAGATAGAACTATGATCTCCATTCACAAAAGACTCATTAAGAGAAAACTGTGCAGCCTTTTTCAAACAAACTGATTACCGTGCATTTTGTTGCTCTCCACAAAGTTCTCGTCTTCTTCATCTGTCTCAGCAGTGCCGAAAAGCTTGATGTTTTCATTCAAGTACCAGCTCAAGTTTTCGTCCATGACAGAGAAGAGGAGGAAGAACTCCTTGTCAATACCCTTCTGTTAAACAATAAACACTTACAATTCAGGAAACAGAAGGGCGTTTAGAAATTACAGCATGTGTTTATGTATGGCTTTGTAGCAGTGCACCTATAATTAGAGGATACATAACACAGTAGGTAGAATTCTCTTATTGTGGGAAAAGTGTGTGTACAAAGAGATTATAAAACCCCTACCTGGATTCCTTTCTCCCCCAGCGCTCCTCGTTTACACACAAGCAGAGGTCCAACTAATCCGGAGTTGGTATCCTTGACAGGATCCGTGGCGGAGTAGTACAAGTAAGGAATACAGGGAGAATCGGACGACGACGGGCCTTCCAGCACCCGCCAAGTGTAGACAAATTCCTTACCCGGGTCAACATGCGACCCTGGATTGTCAGAACCTGAAACATTATAGACAAAGCAATGAAAGTTCAATTAATACACCTCCACAGACTCATTATATTTTGTGTTAGTTCAAATATAGTTTACATTTTTTTTAGTACTGTTACTATTTTCTTTTATTATTTTCTTAATTCCCTGAGTCAATATTGTTTTGAATTTTTTGTAAATCCAACTAATCTTTCTCTGTGATTTGGAACAAATTAGCAAAACAGTGTGAAAATAAAAAAGTCTAACTTTAAAAAAGAGTGGAGATATTTTTTGACAAAGGCACAACAAAGTTTTTTTTTTTCATTTCATAAGACAGACTGAAAGAAAAACCTCCAGAAGCAGTAATTTTTTAGCCTCTAAAGTTGGCAGTGAGCAGGATTGTCACTGACTGCTTCCTCACCATCTTCGTAGCTGGTTCCCTGGAAATGTTTCTCATAGTGGAGTCCATGAGGATGAATGCTGTAGCTTCTATTGGCCTTGTTCTGGAATGTCACTCTGAGAATATCTCCCTCCTCTGCCCTCAAAACAGGACCTGGCCAAAAGTTTGAAAAAGGAAATTAACAGCAGGCTGCTGCAAGACGAGCAACTTTAACATTAAACAAGACATTTGGAGAAAAAGCCAGAGAGAAAAACAAGTACCCAAGAGTCCATGATGGGATGGTGATGCTTTGATGTGGGTGAAGGTATTGTCTGTGTACTCTTTGTATATTACTTTTACATAGGTACCTCCGATTGCTCCATTATTTCGGCTAAAAAACACCTCTGATGCCCTACAAAGGAAAGGACAACAGAAAACAACCAGATCAATAGATCCATTATTCTGTTCCTGACAGACGCAGAAAACTTGATTCAACAAAACATGATCAGCTCAGAACAAACCAGAGCCCAGATGCAGACAGACAATGCTTCCTATATGACGTCAGTTTTCATAGGAAGATATAAAGCCAGAACAAGTGAAGCATATGTATTAAATATAATAAGCCATTTCCAACAAAATTAGTATAAAAATGAGAAAACTTCATAACAGACATTTCTTACTTCTACTACCTCTAGTGGCAGTTTTTAAGTAAAATATTACCAGGTGAAAAAGCAATCAAACTGTTTTACAACTGCTAGCCAGCATTTTTCTGTGTTTGTATTTCTATGCTTAGCCAAGATCTCTTAGTTCACAGTTTTTTCTGCTAGTTCTGCTAGAATAAGCTAAAAGCTTAACTTAGTTATTCTTGCTCTTCCTATTAAACTAGTGTTTTTCCCTCATGCAATGTTTATTTCTCCTTTAGCTCCTTTTTACTTATAGATTTATTTACCCAGTTATTCTGCTGTTATTTTTACTCCTCTGTTGTTTTCATTGTCACTTCTTGTAAATAGCCTGTTGGTTTTTTTAATGCTGAAATACACATGCACATGTTGTACATTTTTAAAATTATCCTACTAAGTTGGACATGCCTTTGAATTGGAGTACACCATTTTTAATAATGACGTATTTATTGAGATTATTGTGTGAATCTTGATGATTCAATTGCCTGTCTCTTTGCTGCTGTTGCTCTGGAATTTCCCTACTGCAGGATAATAAAGGATATTCTATTCTATTCTATTCTATTCTATTCTATTCTATTCTATTATATTCTATTCTATTCTATCCTAGTCTAGTCTAGTCTGGTTTAGTCTAGTCCGGTCTATTCTTCCCACAGCCTGCCTGGGTTAGGGTTGACTGGTAACCTCTTCACTCCTCCAGATGATGTTGCTTCTTAAGTTTCCTTTCCTACCTCTTCCTAAGGAGATCCTATCAATGCCTCTGTTTCCTCTCAGGGGACCTGGCCAAGATTTCCACTCTTAATCCTGTATCTCTCACAGCGTCCTCTGCTCCTTTCATGCCAGTGTTAACAGCGGTATCTCCACCCTCAGTAGACGGTCCCCAACTCATATCCTGGGGATGTTTGGATTACTTTGGTGTTTCTTTTGTTGGTTGTTGTGACTCAATGACAAGTCTAGTTGTCTTACAATTGGAAAGTTACCTGTCAATCCATTCTGGTGTGTGCATTTGTGAATAGCTGTAGTGTAAAATGCTTTCAGGTGTTAGCGTGACAAGACGTGGGCCATTTAAGTTCAGACCTTTCATTATTTGTTGGAATTGAGCCGGGACTCTGGCTCAATCACTTTAAAACTCATACGCCATTACACTGAAAGTCCACATTTTCAGAGCACAAATCTCACCAATGGGCCTTGGTTCTGGATTATTCAAAACATTACACTAGACCTCACATGAGGCAATGCTAAGCATGATTACTCACCTGCCCTCTTCAGTAAGCGATGTGTTTTTAATCAGATTCTTTTCTGAGGGGGCATAGTTCCACTGGACTTCCTCTGCTGCCAGGTAGAAATTCCTGACAACACCAGGTGTTGTTGTGCTGCCAGACGAAGAGTCACATGACATCACTTCGTAGAAGGCCTGCATACCAGCTGAGAAAAAAATCAAATAGGCACAAAATATGAGTTTGCTTACAAAAATAACTTGCTTATCTTTAAATGAACATCAAAAAGGGTTACTGTTGCCACAAATTTAAACAATTCCAACACCACTTATAGACTTTAACAATTAATGCCTTGCAAAACATTTTACGCACTTTCAACATTTTCACAATTTGTCATGATCCAACCAAAACATTCACTGTATTTTTTTCATAACTAATGTCACACACCAGCACATATTGGTGCATACTGGTGAAGTAAAAGAAAGAATACATG